TGTGTGTGTGTGTGTGTGTGTGTGTGTGTGTGTGTGTGTGTGTGTGTGTAAAAGACCAATAGACAAAAGACGTGGAACACATAAGTGGTTTTCAAAGTGAACTTTGAAGTAAACAAATTGGGTTATAATGAATTGTAAAGACAATCCTTTTGAAATAACTTGCAGTAGACAGGAATTGTGAGAAGCTGTTTCTTGCTATTAAAAAAAATTATGATGATGACTTGGGCAGAGCCAAATAAACCAATGTTAATAAAAGCAGAGTAAACAAATCAACATCCTCACCATAAATGATGTTCCAAATACACCAGAGAACCATTCATAACACAGAATTCTCGTGGTTTTTGACCTTGAAGAACTTTGGACAATGTTTTTGAAGTCATGCAATTGTTATGCTTACTTCAAGTATCTTAGGAGTATCAAATCATTTCCATTAATGTTCTTAGTAGTTTAAAAAAAAAAAGAGTAAGCAACATTCACCATGATACCTGGAAACATGGATACTGTTTCAAAATGGGAGTCATTTTACTTTCAACTACTCTTACACTCACTGAAATTTATTACTGTAGTTGGCCAATTAATGAAGCCTATTTAGGTTGCAGCAGCATTTATACTAGCACTACCCAGGATTCTTCATAATGTTGCAATAAATTCAGCCTTGAAATCATGGAAAGGATCAAAATCATTTTTAAAGGGCAGAAAAAAATTGATTTGAAATACTGGCCTATAAACAGCCAAAGACATGAAATTGAATTCTTCACTGTACCTCATAAACCTTCTACATCAAGAGGCCACTTTTCAAGTTCTGGCATATTTATCATACAGGCTATCCAGACATTTCCAAAACTCATTCTAAAGAGATCACATAAATAAAATTAACCTTATTTCAGCCTTAGAACACTGGTACAATAATTTGTTTCTGGGTCAAAACTCTACATGCATGCTTGAGTTTTTCCCTAAATAAGTTTCCTTGATGAATATTCCCTAAATTGGTTCTCTGCAATTTTTAAGCCTCCTCCCCAAAAGGACAAAGGCTTCAGAAAAACTTCAATGAATCTCTCTGGCTAGCCTATTATATCTTTAGAGTTACACTATAACTAAACAATGATAAACATAGCTACTCATAATAGAAACAGACAACCTTTTGACCTGGTATATTAATCAGTGGTTAAATGCAAACTGAGTACAGAATTACCACCATGGGGGACTACTTGCTGATTTGATGTTACCTCATAGGAGTCATTTGCTCTAAGGACCTCATTTGGAAAAGCAGACCTGCTGTAACTACAGGAAAATAACCCATTACTCTTAACTTAGTTGGATCTAAAACATATTGCTGTCCTAAATTGAAACTTTAGGCTCTTTGAAAACATGGCCAAAGTGTCTTCCTCTAAAATTGATTATACAAAATTTTTTTTAAATTATGGAATGTATCACCTCCCTTTCCTCCACTGAATTGGGGTGGCCAAGGAGTTGCATTTTTTTTCTTTACACTGTCATATGACATCAGAAACCATATTCCTAAAAGAGCATTTTTTAAAATTATCTCTTCTCAAAAAAAAAAAAAGAGGAAGTATGAAACGATGACTAGAAAGCCAGTCTCAAAACCAAGAAGACCTGGGTTCAAATCCTACCTCTGACACATAATGGCTGTGTGACCCTGAGCACATCACAACCTTTCAGTGTTCTAGGCAACTCTCCAAAACCCTAAGTTGCAGAAAAGGTGCCTAGGCCTGCTCTGGTAGGAGTTTCTTCACTTGGTAGTTTCCTGTACCAATGAAATCACAAGTCTGGTCCCTATGTCTACCATCCTCCATCCCACCCATATCCCCACCTCTCCCCCCCCAAAAAAGAAGCAAAAAAGGCAGGCAGCCTAAGATTTTACTTTTCATAACAGCTGGCTATAAGAGAGTGTGTCTCCATAATAGCACACAATGTTTTAGAAGTGGGAAAAATTATTTGATGCCCATTAAGATGCACAAAATATTTTAACCCAAAAGAAGATTCTATATGCTCAAACCATCTTGACTAATTTTCCAACTGTCTAGCCTAGGCTCCATGAATTATTTGATTCATACTTAGGACTGCTTGACAGGTATGGCAAATCCCACCAGGGGACCTCTGTGCAGAAAGGACTGATAGCTTTTAAATGCTTCAATTATCCTTTAGCAGCCCGGGCTGCTCCCTCAGATTCCAAAGATGACTTACTCAGAGCCCAGGGAGGTGGGGTCACTAACTGGAACAGTTTCGACATATCATAGGGTCTGCCCATGTCTTTTTTTTTAATTACCCTTGAAAATGTTTTTATAATGAAAAATAATTGCTAATACTTTTCTAGGGCTTTAGAGTTATGGAATGCTTTACATGTGTTATTACATATTGTGATCACACAATAGGATTATATGCAATCGAGGTACATATGAAGGTCTGACTGACATCACTGACACTCATTAGAAAAATTCAAATTGATTACAAGACTTCTGTTGCAGTTTTAGCTTCACTGGAATCAGAAAAGGGACAGAACTATAAATTTCATTTTGGATCCTTTTTTTTAACTTTATCTTTTCCCATTACAAACATGTCTTGTCAATCAAAACGAATTTCTACATTGGTTATATCAAAGAAAAATTTGTCTCATTCTGCATTCTGAATCCTTCACCTCTCTGTCAGGAAATGCATAGCTGTCTCTTCGTTAGTCCTCCAGAATCCTGGTTGGACATTATACTAATAAGTTTAATAAGTATAAATATAGTACAATAGTATTCCATCACATTTATATATCATAACTTGTTCAACCATTGCCCAATTTATGAGTGCTCCTTCAGATTCTCATCATTTGCCACCTCAAAAGAAGCTATAAATATTTTGTACCACCTTAGAGTTTGTTTTGCTTAGGATTCATCCCCCTGTAATCTACCCCTCATCTACTTCCCCTTCCATTTCTCCCCTTTCCCTCCTATTTTCCCTTATTCAGTCAGACCTTTATATGTGCCTAGACTGCATGATGCAATATGTTTCATTCAAAAAACCTAGGCTGTGTCTTCACAACCTCAAACATTTGAGTTTGAGCCTCCTCCCTTCCTACCTCCCTCTTCCTGTCTATGTTGCTTCTGCTTGTTAAAGTGGAAAAAGGCCTGGCCTTATTGGCAGAAAGCCTAACCAGGTTTGAGTACAGTCTTTGCCATTTTCTAGCTGTGTGATCCTGGCTAAGTCATTCAACTATCAAAAAGGGATGAAGCAATTTACATTCCTACCTCCACTTCCTTTGACTTCCTTCAGTAATCAGTAATCAGTTCAAATCTAACCTTCTGTAGAAGGCTTCATCCCACCCCACTCCAATTAGTCCCTTCTTTCTAACATTACCTTCCCTCTATTCTCCCCCCATGTATATCTATATCTATCTATATCATATATGTGTGTGTGTGTGTATTTGTTTGCATATTGATTCCTCCATTAGAATGTAAGCTTCTTGAGGGCAGGGACCATGTTTTTCCCTTTCTTTGTGTTCTCAGTGCTTAGCACAATGACTGACACATATTAAGCGCTAGAAAAATGTCTTGACTAACTGACTTGGTTGTGTATACATTGGCATTTCCCCAGTGGAATTGCTTGAGGGAAGGAACTATTTTATTTTTGTCTTTGTAGCTTCAATATCTGGTGCAGTGGATGACAACTAGAGGATATTTAATCAATGCTTGCTGATTAATTGATTGACTGCTTGATTGATTGACTTAAATGTCCTTGACTTCCTATCACTCATTTTCTTCTCTTTCTTTGCAGGTAGTTAAATCTAACACTTCCCAGGAATATCATCTTATTAAAATGAAACCATCAAAACAGCATGTTGTGGGAAAATATTTTAGCAATTTGAACAAACAGAAGAGACTGCAAAGTTATGCAACTAATGTACAATCACCTTATCATGTCAGGGGCCCCGTCAATCAAGTCTGTTCTGAAATTCTTCTCAGCATGATATGTACGCATGAAAGGACTGTGTAGCCTTCCTTCTGGAGAAGCAGCCTTGCATTTGGAAACTTCCCATTTATCTGGTCTGGGAACCATGTCAAATGCATTACATATGTCTATGGACCTCGCATGTATGCTTGCATAGAGAGAGAGAGAGAGAGAGAGAAAGTAGGGACATTCTTCCTGAGGATTTATAATGTCAAGATGTGCCCCCTGCGCATTGTAGTTTCTAAATGATAAAGATACAAAAAAAATTTTGATTTTTTAAAAAGGAAAAGAAAGGAAAACTTTACTTGAAATATAGCCAAATGCTTAAGTAAGCTAAAGGCGGGGTATTAGATTTTATGAGAATAAAGGTAAATAATAGGCACTTGAAATATGTGAAGAGACCCTAAAGCTCTTGAGCTTCATTTTTTCTTACCTATAGGTACATTCATATTGATGGGGGTGAAGGGGGAAGCAATTACATTCCACTTGCAACTAGGTACAGTACTTGTGTTTTTGGGTGGAAGAAAATACAGTATTTAGGATGACACTGGTTTTTATAAAAACTAATCCTTCTGAAAGGCATTTCCCTCCATTTGCTTGATTGTTTATTTTACAATTTTAGGGATGGAAGTAGGATAGGAAGGGGGTTTAGGAGGAGAACCGGTACAGGAGATTCCAAAGGGTCTAGATGGGAGAAATATTGGAGTAAAACTCTTTAAAGCTAACACTTCAATTGACCCAAGTTTTCTTTACATAGTCTTTACCCTTATATTTTTAAACATATCCCCCTTCTGTCCAGTATGCTGAGCTTAAATAGGATGCTTGTAGTATAATTTGTTAATGAACATGTCAAGTTAAAGAGAGGAACCAAATTTTTTTCCAACTGTATTATTAGATAATATTTGTAAAGTGCTTTGCAAACCTTAAAGAGCTATATAAATGCTAGCTATTATACTATTTCATGTGGTCTCATTTGCTTAAGGGAGGAAGGGTTAGGACCTGTGATTTTATCTATGTGGGGAATCCCTGGTGTGGAAAATCCTTTCATTGATGAGTAACTCATCTGTAACAGATAAATTTTAGATAGTTTCAATTAGTTGCCTGGGGCACTGATTTGCCCAGGTCACATCCTAGTGTATGTGAAAAGTAGGTCTTGAACCCAGCTCTTCCAGACTGGGTTAATGGGCGTTAATCCACAATCCAGCCTCTCCAGTTCCTATTAACTTATGTAAATGAAATAGGATTGTGAAAAGATTTGTTTTTCATTAAACTTAATATATACTTTAAGTTAAAATCTTAACATCATATATCTGTCAAAGGATTATGTTTCCTTAAATTCCTAGATACCATTCCCAGGGGGTTAAAAAAAAAAGCATCCATGGACTTACTAGATCATCACTAGTTTGATTATAACTTATTCTGATTTTCAAGAGTCGTTTGAGTTTTGGGGAAACACATGCATTGGAAGAGAATTTCAGGTAGCATTAAATATTAGTTGGTTTCATTTTCTTAAAATAGTGGAATAAAAATTATATTATTCTTGAAAAAAAATTCTTCTTAAGATAGGAACTATGTGCCAATCTAACATTCTTATTTTCCTGTTCTGTATTTTAAAATCCAAATGCTGAACTTTTTTTTGCTTTACACAAGTACTGGTGTTGTGAACTATTATTTCACAGTTATAATGTGTTTTAAAAGTATTGTTTTTCTTCAAAAAAAAAAAGCTAAATTAATTCAGTTCATAACTGAAACTGCCAAAAGTGCAATACCTCAACTTCACCATCATATAGAAAATAGGACTACCTGATATGATTCACTATATGAATAGACATAGATTCACTGGTATGAATTTCTTCATCCTTTAAGACCTCTATATTTTTATATTATATATATTTTTATATGAAGTTATTCAAGAAATGTATACATCAATCTATTCAATAAGCTGTTTTGAGTTATATTTCAACATAAAAATAGCAATATATACAAGCAATGCATGTCTGCATAACAAATGGATTATAGTCAGTTATTTTTTAAAATATGGTACAGAAGTTAATTTTGCAAAGATCTGATCTTTATAGCACATGCAAATGTATGAGACACTTAAAATGGAACGCCATTTTTTTTTCAGGTTTTCAGTTATTTTAGAGTACAAAATGCTTTATATTTGTGCCGATGAATTTCTTCTCTCTCTGCCTTAAAAAAGTAAAGATTGATATTTCCATCTTTGCTATTTGTCAGTATTATGTTCAGTGATAGTATAATGTAGTTTGGTGTAGTACAATAGATGAATCATACTTTACTTACTTTGTCTTAATGTTATTCTTTTAAGATTAGTCTAAGTAAAAGTTGAACAGTATTAATATGAAGCAATCACTTTTATGACTGTATTTAGTATGATTTTTATTGGAAGTACATGATTTTAGAAAGAATGGTAATCATGATGTTTAAATAATTACAACTTGAAGTCTTAATAGTGTTGCCATCTTTCATCCATGGTCATTTCTGCTTTACATTGACCCAGACCAGCTTCTGAACAGAAAGCAGGGTTAGCCTATTCCACGATCAAATACTGGGATTTCAAGTAAACATTTTGATTAGTCATTTTACATTAAATAAATTATCTCCCCACTGAAATATGTGCATTTTTATTTTCTGGACATCATTTTAGTAGGGAAAAAATTGCTATGTGCATGTTTATATGTGAATGAAATAAATAATTTGCATTTTCAGCTAGTGTTTGCTTTAGCCTTGGAATAAGGTTCTCCATTTGCCTTAATCTTTGGAATAATTTTCAGTAAAAATGATCATAATGTTGTCATTTAATTGACAGGTACAGGTTAAGTACATCCTTTGTGATGCTACCCAAAGAAGAAAGACAGAATAGGTAGTGAAAGTATTAAAGTCTAAGAATATCTCAGTGGAAATTTTAAGACAAAGCTGTGAGCCTTTCCTTCCCCATCCCCAAAGTTCAGTGAGCTGTTTGGCAGCCATCCAATCTGGTCAACAAGCCCCAGAAGGACCATGTGAGAAATATGGTATCATTGCCCATTAGACTCCTATGTGGTGCATTTAACCTAAGTGTAATTTACAAATTTCTGTAGCAGTCTCCACTGCAGGATGGTAATTCCTACCCTCCTTCTCATCTCCAGCCCCTCCACCCCCTACCACTTCCCTTTTCGAAGGTGCTGGCAAAAGTTGCTGATTTTTGAGACTGTGTAAGTCAGGCTGTGGAGCTTTCCAGAGAAGATAAGACTGCTGGTTAATTTCTAGTGTTTCTTCTGAATAGTTTTTCTACTATTTCTTGTTGTATTTCATTTTAGATAACCAAGAAGAAATTCAAAATGATGCCTAAAATATTTTTACATAATCAGATTGATTTCTTCAGTTTTAATTTTTACTTCAAAACAATTTTTAATAGACCTAATTCAATAACCCTTCAGTTTTAAGATTCCTCACCCTACCCTGGTCCCAATTTTAATAAGTTAAGGGAAAAGACATCAAACCATAGATTTAAAGTTGGAAGGGACTTTAGAAATCATGTAATTCTATCATTTTACAGATGAGGAAATTGAGGCCCAGATAAACCATGTGACTTGACTTCACACAGGTAGGAAGTACATAGGACTAGGTTCTGTGAAAATCTTTATCCAAAGACTGCTCAATCCAAACCCAGGTTGACACAATAGCATTTTTTTTTAACCCGAGTGAATTCTTTTCTGGGTAAAACCCAGGAAGGATTGAAATGTCATCAAAACTAAAGGCAGACCCTCTTAAAATTAAAATTAGAAAATACAGTTATGGTAAGTTCAGTAGAAAAGTTTCAGTGTGAAAGCATTAAGAACTGTTCTCCAAATCATAGATTTCAGCTATGTATACAAGAGACATGATCTTTTTTTGTTGTTTTAATCAGATGGATATCAGAAAATGACCAGTTTGTAAATGAACTTTTTTTCCATTTTCAGTTATTTTTTGTGACACCTTTAGAATAAGATGTCTTCATTTTTGGAATGCTGTTTCTGAATTTCTTCCAAGTTTCTTTGTAATCTATAAACTATTCAATATAAACCTATTGGAGCTTTTTTTTTAAAGCATTTGAAGTTCAAAAACTTTTTTTTAATCATTTGGAAGAAACTAAGGCAATTTGAAAAGAATACATTTTAAAGAGGAGGAACCAGAAAGTATTAGAAACCCCATTGGACATTAAAGACAATGGGCTATTATCAGTGTTGCAGAATTAGATATGTATTTGGCACAGCTTCCAAGTTTCCATACTCTCAAAGAACGTTTTATCATTTTTACTGCTACAGTGACTATTACTGTCAACTTCCATATTTCTTTTATGATTCACTTGGTATAGGGAGCTTATAGATTTCATTCTTGTCTAACTGATGGTGACCATACATTCATCCTTGATGTGGTGATCCATTTGTTTTCTTCATATTCACAAAAACATATTTTTCCCATTTTTATGGCTCTATTAAATGTCAAACTAACATGTATTACCAATCTCAATATATAAATTAAATGGTGCTCTTGCAAATCTATTAAGAACATCTACAAGTAGCCCCACCAACAGTCTATATATAAATAATTATTTAAACTCAACAAGTCAGGGAGGGGGTGAGGAACAACAAACATCTGCATCACATAAAATATTGTAAAGCTACCGACATGTAAATCATATGTGAGGAGTTAACAGTACTGATTTTGATTTAAGTTAATTGAGATTTTCTTCATCTTTAAGTTCACACATATCTCAAGTCCATGTAAAGCTTTGCAAGGCACAGTTTCTATTTCATCATATAGAATCATCCCATTTGGCAATCCTTTGTGGACAATATCTGGATGTATTGTTGTGTTGATACCTAAACTGTGCTCCAAGGAAGTCTGGTTTTCCCCATAACACACCTGTGGATTCTTCAAGAAAAGTTTGACACTAGTGAAATTTTTCATTCTTAAATAGTAAATATAAGATTATGAGTAAAACAAAATACCTACTATTGATGCTGAATTTTTTAGTATAAAAATAGACTTAATTTATTTTATTTTGTTCCTAAATTTTTCTAAGGTCCTTTGATTTTAGGGTGGGTATCCTCCATGTTTAGAGTAGTATTTTGGGGTCTCATCAAGGTGATTCAAGTCCAAAGATATTCCATGGTCAAAATAGTTTGTGAAACATGACATTCTTAAATTTTAGAGGAGATCATGAGTAGATGTTGAATTTCACCAACCAAAGCTTTTTCTTGGGAATCATATTCAGTATCTAATTTTTATTCTATGTAAAAATGTTTAATGTCTGTCTTTCTATAAAAAATAAAGACATTTTTATAACCTGCATTAATTATCATCCTTTTGGTATGCCAAAAGTTAAATGTTACATGGTTTTGTTAAAAGAAAAATGAATTAAATTGATTCTCAAATATTTTGAGTCACTTCTTATCTTATGGTTGATTATCAGAATGAATCCATTCAGTTCAGCTCTTCCAGTTATACTAAGCTATGTCATTTTGTACCACATTTGCTGACATATATTTCTTCTTTTTAATTATAAAAGTCAAACTCTGCAGGTTGCCATCTCCATATGCAACACAAAGGTTAGCACTTTTATTTTTCCTCCGTATTTTTATGTATTCTATAATTTGCAAAATTAAATCATAAAAATAATACTATATATCTCCTAATATAGAAGAATAATGAAAAGAAATTGGCATATGTACAATATGTCAATTAAATACACCTCATGGCCATTCATTGGAGGAAAAAAATTTTAATGGGTTATATCCACAAGTCTTGTTAAATCTTTCTCTTAAACCTATCTTATGGCACTAAACTTTTATTATGGCGGGAATACTAATATAAGAATGTCTCAAATGCAGATGTGGGAACTCTGCAGAATTTAAAAGATTTTTTAAATCTACATAAAACTCTTTAAAGGAGCAGCTAAGTGGCATAGTGAGTAGAGCATTGGGCTTGGAATCAGGAAAACTCATCTTCATGAGTTCAGATCTGGCCTCAGACACTTACTAGATGTGTGACCCTGGGCAAGTCACTTAATCCTGTTTGCCTCAGTTCCTCATCTGTAAAATGAAACAGAGAAGGAAATGGCAAACCACTCTAATGGGAATCACAAAAAGTCAGACACAACTGAAATGATTCAACAACAACAACAAATTCTTGAAAGAATAAGTCCCTCCCTAGCTATAAAACTGTGCATACCCTTTGACCAAGCAAATAGCACTTTTAGGTCTCTCTCCCAAAGAGATCATACAAATGGGAAAAGGACCCACGAGTACAAAAGTATTTATAGCAGGTCTTTTTGTGGTAGCAAAGAATTGGAAATTGAGGGGATGCCCATGAGTTGAGGAATGGCTGAATAGATTGTGGTATATGAATGAAATGGAATACTACTGTGCTATAAGAAATGATAAGCAGGCAAACTTCAGAAAAACCTGGAAAGACTTACATGATCTAATATTGAGCGAAGTGAGCAGAACTAGGAGAACATTGTACACAATAACAGCCACATTGTTTGATGACTAACTTTGATAGACTTACCTCTTCTTAGTAATGCAAGGATCTAAGACAACCCTGAAAGACTCATGATGGAAAATGCTATCCACATCCAGAAAAAGAACTATGGAGTCTGAATGCAGATTGAAACATATTTGCTCGCTCTCTCTCTCTCTCTCTCTCTCTCTCTCTCTCTCTCTCTCTCCTTTCTCTTGTTTCTTTTTCTTTGTGGTTTCTCCCATTGGTTCTAATTCTTCTTTACAACATGACTAATGTAAAAATAGGTTTAATATTAATGTATAAGTTGAGCCTATATTAATTTACACACCATCTTGGGGTGGGGGGAGGTAAGAGATGGGGAGAAAATTTGGAATTCAAAATCTTATGGAAGTAAATGTTGAAAACTAAAAATAAATAAATTTATTAATAAAAAAGAATAAGTCCCTAGGTTTGTGAAGGAAATAATATCCTTACACAAGACATGTTTTGGTTCTTGATAGATCTCACTATTATTATAGTTGAAGGTCTGGAGTGTGAAACCCATCTTGGCCCTGCCCCTTAGTGAGTTATATATCCATGGAAATAGTACAAGATGCAAGTCCTGAATCCTTTAGGTACAGGTAAGTCTGCTAAGATACTGGCAATGGATATGAATTTGAAAATGAAGAAGGGGGCTCCTGAATAGAAGTATCATGTTCAGTTCAATTCAACAAGCACTTATTAAGCACATACTATGATTTCAGGCACTGACTTAGACACTGGAGATACGAAGCCAAAAGGAAACAAGTCCCTCAAATTCTCTGTGTTCTATGTATAGTTGATGCTTATTCTAGGGATTCCTCAGTCCTGTGTTCTAGCATTCATGTAATTGTAGCCTCTGTTCTCTAGCCCTGTAAGCCTCCCTTGGCAATTTACAGACATATTTTCTTAAGTCCTATTCTAAATATTAATATTGACTAGCCATTTTGAACATTCCCATTTCCCACAATAAGAGGAAATAATTATCTTAAAATTCATTGGATGTAAAATTAGAATCCAGATAAATCAAGTAACAGTTAACTTTGATTGTAATGATATCTTGAGATAGGCAGAGAAGGAGATCATCTTACTGTTGTTTTTTTTCCCCATAATGACAGTATAAGCTCTGAGGAGCTTGATATTAAAACTTTTTTTTCCTCTACCCTTGTTTTTTCTACATTCAACCCACTTGTGCCCTCAGCAGCTCTCTAAGAATGGTTGCCTTCTGATTGATAGAGGGAGTTTCCTGCATCTATCAATCAACAAACATTTATTAAGTGTCTACTAAGTGCCAGGCATCCAGGGGTGGGGAAGCTGCTGGGATTCTCCAATAAAATAAATACAAAAGTGAGATATTTGGATTCAGTCAAAGGGCCGCACTTGAGGACCTAAAGGGCCACGTGTACTCTCAAGGCCACAGGTTCCCCATCCTTGCTGGAACTGTCCAATAAAAATACGATTACAAAAGTAAGATAAACCTTGTTCTCAGGGTACTTAACATTCTGCTAAAGGAAAAATGACATATATATATATATATGAAAAATACATCATAGTGGGGGAAGGGAGGCCACTACCAAGTAGGGGAATCAGTGAAGGATTCTATCAGAAGATGATACTTGAGATGAGGCTTAAAGGGACTAAGGTATTCCAAAAGGCAGTAAGGAAGGAGAGTACAGTTATTCCTTCTACATAGGGACTTTCCCCATCACAGTTTCGATATTTTGTGGGTCAACATAAGAAATTTAATGTGAATTTTTAGGGAGTTTTGTGGAAGCCCCAGATGACATATGAAGGCTAGCAGATGACACAGAAAAAGTTTAGAGACTCAGGAATGCATAAAATATATGTATAGTATTGTATACTATCAACCCAAATTTTACAATAAGGTACTATAAATACACCATTAAAGAAAAAAATTCAGACCTTTTCTCTCATACAAAGGGAGGGCCAAAAATTTTTACATGGATTTTCCAGATCATGGGGGGGACCAGGCCCCTAACCCCAGAAATGTGGAAGGGATACTACTTTGGACAAAGACAACAGCTTGAACAAAAAACAGCAAAGACTGAATGAATATTTTGTACAAAGAATAGCAAGTTAACTACTTTGGCTAGAGCAAGAGTTTTTATCCTGGAAGTCCATAACTTTGTTTGTTTGTTTGTTTAATACAGTAGGTTTCCTCTATAAACCTATGTATTTTACATTGGTTTCCTTTGTAATTCTTTTATTTTATGCCTATGAGAAGGGGTCCATTGGCTTGCCAAACTCTCAAAGGGTTCCATGACATAAAAAAGGTTAAGAACCTTTAGACTAGGACCTGGAGCAGTGAAAATAACATGTAATCAGCCTATGATTCAACCACATAGTGAAGTTAAATCTCAAATAAAGGAATTTGTACTTTAACCTAAAGGTAGTGGAGAGCCAGTAAAACTTCATGAACAGTAGAGTAACATAGAGCTATGTGTTAGAAACATTAATTTGGCAGCTGGATGAAGGATGAATTGGTGAACAGAGAGATTGGAGAGAGACCAATGTGAAAGCTATTTTGGTGGTCTACAGAAGAGGCAATAATGGACTGAACTTGGAATGGAGGTCATGTGGAAAGAAAGGGATAGATGTGAAAGATGTCCCCTATCCAGTCAAATGATATTCAGGACTTTCCCCTTCAACTTTATCTAGTAGAATATGTTAATATATAATTTGCTTAATTAATGCACTTTTTCAGTCTTGGTCCAGCAGGAATTTTGCTACATGATGGAGGGGGGAAAAAAACAGCAACCAATTGAGAGGTGAAAAATTCATTTAACCACATGTATGTTTGTTCTGTAAAGTGCCAGACATCACAGGTCTGAACACATGTGTAAACTGGAAGGCCCTTTGGGCTGTTTAGCAGCAATGATAATTTTAAATTTTCCTTATTATCTGTAGCTACTAAACTTACTGGAGGACTAGTGTGTGTGTGTGTGTGTGTGTGTGTGTTAAATCTGATATATAGTACCAGACATGTTAATTAAAAATACATTTCTACTTCCTCAGTTGCTCTACTTGAATGTAACATGAAGCCCATGTTTTAAGGGGCACAGTAACCACGTCTCCAGCTTTATGACATCATAAAAATATTTTATGAGTCCATTTTTTATTTGGATCTATATCATTGGTGGTGCCTGAAATTATATAAAGTTTACCTCTCCATAACTATTCATAAGATAAAAATTTGACTTAACCAAGACCATTATGGTTAAGGGGGGAAAAATAAAACAAAATCCTTAGAGCTAAATTAGGTTTAGTCAAGATTCAGAGTCACATCTCATCAGTTTCTACCACAGTTACATACCCACTGGGGAAAAGTGAGTCTCTGTTCACACTTGTCCTTAATGTGTACCCCTTTCAGTATTCACATTAATGATGAAAAGGCAGTGGGGTGTTGCTAAGATGCCATGGCCCACACCCTTAACACAAGATATTTCTGCCAAGAACTGGCTTTGTTTGCATAGTTTAAAGTTAGTTCCAGAACCATGTTATTGGTAAACACCCTGGAGAAGAAGAAGAAGGAAAAGGAGGAGGAGGAGGAGGAGGAGTGGGGGGAGGGGGAAGAGGAGGAAGAGAAGGATGATGGAAAGAAGAAGAAGAAGAAGAAGAAGAAGAAGAAGAGGAGGAGGAGGAGGAGAAGGAGGAGGAGGAGAAGAAGGAGGAGGAGAAGAAGGAGGAGGAGGAAGAAAGAAAAATTTACCACTTATTATCTTATTTATAGCATCTTAGATGGCTGGCAAGACCAATCCAGTGCTAATAAATACCCTGTTTCTCAGGTT